GGAGTGAGACATACTATGAATAAATAAATTCAAAAGCATCCACTGAAACAGGAGGTAATACCCCCATATTTTAAACAAGGAAGCCAAGGTTGAGGGAGTTTAAATAGCATCACTAAGGTCATAAAAGTAATAAATTGAGTGTTGATACTGAACCAAGATCTCTCAGTGCTTAGTCCCACGTACATAGTGTATCTTGTGGAGACATCATGACTGTTTAGTGTCTGCTTCTATGCTAAATTTTGGATCTCTGGAGTCCTGACATGGTGACATATGCACATTATGTTTTACATAAGTGATCAAATATCAGGTCAATTTTTACACTGACAAATTTTAAGCCAATCTTAAATGACTATGTACCCAACAGTCACCACAAATTTCAAAAATGAAGAACCTTTTAAATATACTTTGTACTATATGAGAGAGCATCCGAAATGGTTGTTTCTGGGTTTTCAGTTTGGCTAAATGAAACTCTTGTTAGCAACTAGAATGAATAAACCCAGCTTGATGCTCTAGCTGTTGAAGGAAATCTAAAGGTTAGGGGGATTTTTGATATCCAGGTAATCTGAATAATTTCCTAATCTCTTGAATGTAGGGTATTTCAAGTTTGATTGATAATATGAACAAAATCTTCTGAGACTGGTATGACACAATCATGCCATCTCCTGTGTGCTGAGGGGGAGCTAGGACTGAGGGATCTGGCCTTATGTTTGGCCTATGTGCCTGGGCAAAATAGCAGCCAGTTTCGTAAAAATCTATTCTTGTATGCTCTGGAATCTTCTGAGTGGTTGATGTTTCAACTTTTCTGTTTAGAAAACTTTAATGTTTTAACACAGGCATTTGGCATTCAGGAAAAGAAAAGACAGAAAAAGTAAAGATTAAGAAGGGCAGGAGAACAGCAAACTTCTTAATGTGTGAGATGCAAAAAAATCAAAGGAAAACCAGGGTTTTTCAAGGATTTTTAAGTCTATTGGTAAACTGGGGATTATTTGCTCATATATAATTGAAATGAAACTGTGCTTCACCTCAACATAAAGTATTTATAATCATATTAAGTACCTTTGAATTCTATTTATTTTAGAATCAGACTTGTTTCAAATTTTCTCCATAATGACCCTGCAGAGACTTTGAAAGCTTTTTAAAAAAAATACTTTATTTATTATTTTTATTTTATGTGTATGGTGTATTGCCTGCATGTAGGTAAGTGCACCTGTGTTGTGCAATGCCCACGGAGGACAGAAGAGATGGCTCAGCAGTTAGGAACATTGGCTGTTCTTGCAGAGAGCCAGGGTTAGCATCCCAGCACCCACATGGCAGCTAACAACTGTCCGTAACTTCAGTTCCAGGGGATCTGAAAGCTTTTTTTAAAAAACAAATTTGGCCAAGAAATAATTCAAATACCTTTCACCTTTCTTTTAGATCTAACAATTTACTTTTTACAGAATTATTATTTCTTTTATTACCACTACTGCTTTTTTTTTTTTTTTTTTTTTGCAGACCAAAAAAAAAAAGTGAATTTATTTCAAGGAAAAGCTTTCCATATTTGTCAGCACAATTTTACTTCCATGTACTTTACTTACATTTCCTGACTCTTCCTTATATTAATTTCTCTAGCAATCCTTGGACATGGGACTGTCATATATGGCTATGTAATTTCTGACATTTCTAGCAAGAATTCAATTATAAGTGTTATTGACAATCTTCTAAATTTGAAAAAAAAAATGCACATGATTAGATACAGGCACATTTCCCTCTGTGTTTTTGGTGATTTTGTCCCATTGTCATTTAGTAGTGTGGCTACATCTCTAGTTATCCACTAAGAGTGGGACTCAGACTATTAAAAATTATAAAAGAAACATAGTTGAGAGGAAGTAGCAAGCAACTGAGGGGAAGGTGTGGTTTGACACTGAAATTTTAAAATGCAACAAGAGGAAGACAGCACCATGTGAACCTGTTTGTGAACATTATTTTTAATGCTTTATTTATTATTTTATGTGTATGCCTATATTGCCTGCATGAATGCAAGTGCACCCATGTCATGTAATGGCCATGGAGGATAGAAGAGGCCATTGGATTCCCTGGAATTGGAGTTATGGATGGTTGTTAGCCACCATGTGGGTGCTGGGATTTGAACCCAGGTCTTCTGCAAGAACTGTCAGTGCTCTTAACCCCTGCACCATCTCTCCAGTCCCAATGTTTATGAACATCCTTAAAGGTTAAGGTTCATGCTTATGTTTGCAACCATTTGGAGCAAGGCTGAACATGGAGGCATGCCAAGCATATTGCCTTATAAGTGTGAGCAATGCCCCTACCGGTTTCTAGCTTTAGCTACCTATAGGTACTATAGGCAGTTGTTCTGCGATATTTCAAATTTAATACCACTGATATCTAATCTAAATCTCACCATTCTCCATGTGCACAGATGAAGAATTCCAGAAACAGAAATAGAAGACAGAGAAACCTGTAAGGAGATGTGAGAAACAAATAGACACAGATTAAAAGCCTGGGGGCTGCAAGAGGCTCAGGAGAAAACATACACAAAAATGCATAGCATAAGGAGAAAAGACACAATAAAACCACATAGACAAAGGGCTAGAGAGGGTCAAATTTCCCCTAAACCATGTAGGAAAACAAAGTGAAATGTAAACTTCTAATTCAGAAACATGGCATAACAAGCAATCAGAAACATAAATATAAGCATTTTATCTACTAAATGCTTTTTTTGACCTACTCTCCAAATAAATTCATGTCTAAAATAAAATTATGCAGCAAAATGTAGCATGGGCACAAATGTTCATTTGCTTCCATTTCACACAGTCTCAGAGTTCACATTGTCTGCATCTCATTTTTCATCATTTTCTTAAGATTTAATGTATGTCATTCAGGTACATTATAGTTATCTGTGTTTATCATGGATAAACACAAGCATATTTGCATGCAAGTTCTAGTATATAAATACAAAACGTTTCAAATTAAATGCTAGCAATTAAATCACAGGATGAAATATTTTAATTGTAATGAATTAAATTGCATAGACATGGTTAGTCCTTATATTTATTATGATATTTGTATAATATGTCTCTTAAAATTCCATATTTTCCTCATTTGTCACAAAGTAAGCTAAGGTTTCAGTGAATCACTTTTTTATGATAGTGTTCCTGATATCAGATTTATGAATGAGACAAATAACTACATGTCAAAAACTGTGTGTTCCTCTTTTAAAAGAATATTATGAGAAACAACTACCCAGAAAGAAAGAAAGAATACGCTGTTTGGCTTTCCTAAATCTAGGTGGGGCAAGTGACTCGTTCTTAACAGAATGTGAGTAGAGGAGTAGATGGAAGCTAAGATTGCTTACTACCCCTTTCCTACCTGGGATCTAGTTGCAAAGGACCTGTGTTGGTTGACTTTCTAGTCAACTCTCCATCACTATAACAAAATACCTGAGAGAACCAACACATGAAAAGAACTGTCCTTTGGCTCATGGTTTTAGAGGTTTCAGTCTGTCATCACTGGTCCTGTTGCTTTGGGTCTGTGACAAGGCAGCATATCTTAATGGCAAGAATGTGTAGTAGGGCAAAATCTTTCATCTCATCTCCAAAGAGCAAAAATATGGCAAAAGATTGAGAAAAGGTTCCATAATCCCCTTAGAGGTAAAATCCCAATGACCTAAAGTTCTCCCAGGAGGCCCCACCTTTTGGAATAGTACCACACTGGAACCAAGCCTTTGATTCATGAGCCTTTGGGAGGTATTTAGCCTGCAAACTGCAGTAGGACTATAACCTAAGGGAACCATACCATGGGAGGAAATCTGGTTCACAGTATCAATGTGTGAAGCAAGCCTACCAGCCCATCAGACACTAATAGTAGGCTGATATAAGATTTAAGAAGTAAGATTTGGTTGTTTGAAGCCACAAAAATTTGTTTGCTACTCTAGTTAGCATTACTTTACTAAAAGAATGAAGGGCTCTGCTAAATCAACACTTTTCTTCATGGATTTTAAACAGACTAGATAAGACTAAAATTGTGACCTCATTAAATATTCTTCTAAATATATTATTTGCTGTATAAGGGATGAGTAATGATATAAAATCCTGAATGGCCTTGTATTAGTTACTTTTCTGTTGCTGTGACAAAACACTATGATCAAAAGCAAATTATGAGAGACAAAGTTTATTTTGACTTGAAGTTCCAGAGGTATAAAATCCCATCCTGGCAGAGAGGCATGTGCCAAGTGGTAGTTATGGTGGCACAAGTCAAAAGCTGAGAGCATCTGTCTTCAATGGCAAACACAGGCAGAGAGAGGCAAAGCACAAGTGGGGTGGTTCTGAAGTCTCAAAGCCACCCCAGTGACTGACTTTCTCCAGTAAAGCTGTTCCTCCTAAACTTCCCAAAGCAGCACCAACTGGGGACAAAGTGTTGGAATATTTGAGTCTATGGAAGCATTTTTCATTCAAACTACCACAGGCTGAAATGACAATATCAAATAAAAATGGATTTTTTTTCTGAAAAAGCTAGGACAGAGAAAAATTAATCATTATTGAAACTTCCCTGAAAAAGAGCAAAGATACATCTCATTGCTTGCTATTTTGAAATAGGAAATATCTTGAACGTTTGGAAATTGCTACCAATTTTTTTATCTTTGTTAGATTGGTGGTAATAATGAAAATGAAAAAAGTTACCCACTTTTCTCCCTAAGGATGCAAATTTAAATAAATTCTGATGCTAAGAACAAGGAGGTATGTACTGGGTATTCCCACTTCTGTATGGTACATGCAAATTGGAGTCAAAATTTCTTCAGATTGTAAATGCATGTCTTAGAAAGAACTAATAACATACTATAGACACATAAACCATGCTAGTCACATTTCTGACAGTCACAGAAAAAGAAATGGGACAGATGAACATGGAGCCATCCAATTATGACAAATAAACTACTACTTCTACCACAAACGTTGTTGCCAACATTTCTGATTAATAATATTAGTAGAATACTGACAACAATCATTTTACTTTCATATCTGGGGGTTAAGTAGACAACTGATTTCCAAATTGGGCTCTCTTGGAATCAGAATGCAAGAGAAAAATGGACAGAATAATAGACTTCTCTGATCTCACTTAAACAAGTTAAATCCTCCTTTATTATTTTTATGTTTCAGTCTTCTCTGCAAAGAAGATGAGAATTTTCAGATAATTTTATAATCAGGACTATACATATTACAAGTCTATCTATGTCTTAGTTCACAGTTTGGGTTCAATTGTGGCTACTAAGTGTACAGCTTTAAAAAAGATATTATAAAATGTTTGTATATAAATAATTATATAGATTCTTATGTACACATTTGACCTTGTAGGGTTGAAAATAATTCAACATAGTAATTGAGGAAAGAAAATTTTTAGTAAATAAAACTAATCTTAGCAGGAAAAATATAAAATGGATAGACGAGCTGATAGCTGTGCACTAGATTTAGTCAAAGTGGCAAATCCCCTTTTGCAAGGTTAGTAAGGACATGGCACAGCAGGTTAGGGAAAGGTAGGGATGGGAAAAAACAGAGTTGATGGGCTAAGCACCCTGCCCGTTTAGCAATAATATGTCACTGTCAAGAAAGTGAGGATGGAGATTCCTTACTAGAACAGCTGACAGCTGGCTGAAAAGGTCACAGAGGCCCAGAGAATGGAAGAATCTGGTACAAGGTCTCCCCTCTTCTCTTTCAAGCTGTCCAGCTATCAAGATTCATATTCCCAGCAGAAGTGGAACTCTATGATCTTGTATCTTTCAGCTAAAAAGGAAAACCTTTTGAAAAATAAGCTTTCATGCACTCATTTTATATTTACTAATGTCTTTCTTTAGACTACAAAGTTTCATGGGGAGTCCTCTCTCCAGCAATAATGTCAAGATCACTGTCCAATGGCTCAGTGACACACCACCCAGGAGAAGCACTGTCCAGTGGATCAGTGACACATTGCCTGGGGCAAACACTGTCCAGTGACTCGGTGACACATTATCTAGGGCAAACAGTCTCCAATGACTCATTGATGCACCACTCAAGGAAAACACTGTCCAATGGCTCAGTGACATCCCACCCAGAGGAAAATACTGTCCAATAGTTAGCTCAGTGACACATCACCCAAGGGAAGTAGAAGGAGGTCACACAGTCATTGACCGCATGTCCCTTGTATTCCATATATCCCCTCAGCATTATTTCTCAAATCCTTTGAGTAAAAAATTCCACATATACCATCCTAGTGTAAATAGTTTGGGGAACGTCACACTTCACTACAATTCTGCTTTTGATATTTGTTCTAGCTTGATTTCATAGGACTATGAAAAGTTCTCTAGACCCAAATTTGAAGGCTGTGTCTAGTCATATGTCCATCACTAACAGGATGTTGGATTAATAGATTCTAAAATCTGCTCCCTGGAAAGTGTATTTGTTGTTAATTTGGGCAAAAAGTGAATCCATCTATATTTTTAAGAGAATTCTTTGAAAACTCAGTAAGTTTTTCACATACACCAGAGCATCCTAAGGATATTTTTGCCTCTACTTTGTTCTGTCTCTCAGAGGACAGAATAGGTGCCAACTTCACAATCCCTTCTGTCCTCTAAAGATGTGATGCTGTCCTCATCCAGGAACACAGCACATCAAAGCACCTTCTATCATTATCACTTCAAAGTGTCAGCCTGACTGAAAAAAATCGTTACAGAAGATAATTTAAAGGATAAGTGATCTGTCCACCCTCCTGCATTCTAAACAGATTGTGATCAAGTCAGACCTCCAAAGCCTATATCCATTGATCACACTCTCATAGACAGTAATGGAGGATCTTCATAAGTCACTATACTTTATGACTGGCATTTATCAAAACTGTATGGTGACTATCATTATCATCATCTGATTTTCAGGAGAACATCTGTGGCAACACTAAATAAAGATTTATGTCAGTTATATCTAGCAAGCCTACCAACCCCAAAATCATGCATTTATCAATGTTTATCAAATGTCATCTAATTCTTAGTATTGTACATAAAGTGATTAAGACTTCAAACTCATATCCAAAAATCACCCGCTCATGGAATCTAACGTTCAAACAGGACCAGGCATAGGGGACGATCTCTCTGAAATGCTGTTCACCCCAAAACTTCCCCATTCTAGTCAATCCTTAGATCAAAGACTCCCCCTCAGATAAATCTTCCCTCCTTTTCTAAGTAAGCCTTAGAATAGTTTTTTCAAGTATTTCTTTATATATTCATACCAAATTCTACAAAGAAATTAAAATTTTCCACTAAGTACTCAAAAGCACTCCCAAATATTTCCTTAAATTTCTAAGGCAAACATGTTTGAAGGGCATTTTCAGGACTGTAGTCATCGAGTATAAATGATTCTTTGTGTGCATGTGTATTTCTGTGTTCATGGGTGTCTGTACACGTGTAGAGGCCAGAGGACAACCTCAGGTGTTGTTCCACAGGTATCTTCCATGCTTTATTTGGTATAAGGTCTCTCTTAGCCTGGAACTTCTCTCCAAGTAGTCTAGGCTAGCTGGCCAGTGAGCTCCAGGGATCTATCTCTCTACAAGAGTATGCATCCCCAGCTTTTTTTTTTTTTTTTTTTTTTTTTGAATAGACAGGGTCTTACTATACAGCCCTGGCTAGCTTGGAACTCACAGAGATCCACCTGCCTCTGCTCCCAAGTGATGCAATTAAAGACTTGTATCATCACACTTCACCAACACTCAGCTTTTTGTGTGGGTTCTGGTGATTGAACTCAGGTCCTCACAATTCCAAGACAAATGCTTTCGAGACTAAGCCATTTTCCTAGCCAACGTATAACTAATTTTTATAATGCTTCTAACCACTCACGGAAAGAGGTTCTGACTTTTTTGGCCTCTGTTCAATTTTAAGCTTTTTGCCTACTTTTGCTCTCTAGGACATCTCCTGTAAGAAACAATTCATTAAAAACAGGAAGAGACAGTTCCTCTTATGAAGCTATAATTTAGAATTTTTTTAAAGTTGATTAAAATAGAAGCAGGTTTACAACCGTAGCAGGAATACAAAATGGGTCAAATTTCAATGACTTCAACCAAGCTAAGCTCTTCCTTTAACTTCTCCTTTTATGCAACTTTCACAACCACTTGATAAGTCTGCAATGCTCCCGCAAGAAAATTTCAGAAAACTAAGTGGAAGCAATGAAGAAAAAAATAGTGACAAGGCAGCTTTAACGGAGAAAGGAAATGTTTATACCACCAAAACCTCATGTGAATTCTAAATTATTAAATCTCTCAGAACAACTGATTTATGAACAGGGTAACACTGCCCCTAGCCAAAATCATTTTTAATAAAAAAAAAAAAAACAGGAACCTCCTGAAGTTCATCTTACATTCAATATCAAACACAGCAGCCACACATGAATATTTCTCCATAAAACACAAAAACAGCACGGTGCAAGTAGCTGGCAGCCAACAGTGAGGAATCAAGTGTACAAACAAACAGAGCATGGGAGCCCTGGAAAAGATCCATCCGGCCTCCATAACCTGGAGTACCCACCAGTGATAAAGAGCCATAAACTGAATGGAAGTCAATGCAGGGTCAGAAAGGGCTCAAGGATGTGCTACACAGGGCAAGAATACACTACACACAACTGGATCACTCAGTCAAAATAGCGCCCCCTTAACACTGGATTTGGAAAACACCACAATTGTGCTTTGTGTTGAAATTTTATTCATAACTTAAAATACACCAAGTATGGTGGAACCATCTTGGAAAAACAGACTGGTAGTGAAATGAGCCACCCTGATTTTGTAAGAAAAGTAGTAAAAATGGCAAGATTCAGAAAAATACGAGTTACATATTTCCTGATAGATATTCCCACCAAAGAGGAGAAAGATGTCAAGGAGGAAAGTACATCTTATTCTTTTAATATATAGTAGCATTCATTTCTGATTGCTTAGGAAATATATTTACTAATTTTACAATATGTAGAAATAATTCATTCTCATGATTATAAACCCAACTAGTTGGAACTATATAATGATTAAAGTTATTCATGTTTAACCCTCTATGGGCAAGTTCATCAACTGCATGGATCATAAAGCAGTATTTCTGCATGTTACTATTAATATTTTTTGTTACTATTTTGGTGTGTTTTTTAAAAAGCATTCTGATAATAGTAAACTATTTTTCAAAGTGCTTTATTCATCTCTTTTAGGGTAACAAGAAAACCAAGAAGGAAGGAATGACTGCCATTGACAGCTACTTTCATTCATTAGCTTTTTAAAAAACCTGAAAGATGAAAAAGAAGCCAACTTAATAATTAACCATGGCACATTGAA